CTTTAGAAACGATGATGTTACCAGCTCCTTGTTGAGAAAGATAATGTAGCTCTTGAGCGATTAAGCTATTTAGTTGATAAAACTGCGGGGCAGCGCTAAAAAGTTTGTTCTTGAATGTCTGAGTGCGGCCGCAGCGTGATCTGTGTGAGTGACTGAGCATGTGTGTGTGCATTAGATACAGAAGAGAGCGCATTAGTTTAGAACTCTTCTAATTTTTATTTTTTTAAACATAGAAAGTGTTAATTTGTGAAATGATAACCTACCAGCAATGTAAAGATGATTTTGTAATATATTAGTATGAGTGCATTACAATATAAATTTATTAGAACGAGCACATTACTATTTATGGGCTTAAAAACAAGATGCAAACAATCAGAATATTGTACCTGGTGGGGTGTGCCCAATGTAAACATGAAACATATGCCATTACCTAGCTATATTGTACTGTGGTACAGTTATGGAGGCCCTTCATAATGCAGAGGTCAACTGCCTGCTCTGCCAATAGTTAGCAACAGCCCTATAGCATGCAGTGTTTAATAAACAGCTGTTTTACTCAATTCTGCTGAGGTGAAAATTAGTGCAGTCCCGTATCGAGGCATCTGTATCGGGATATGTATCGTATCATGACTTTGCTGGTGATACACAGCCCTAGTATGATTGTATATGATGTAGTTTAGCTATAAAACTGAGCCAAAGGCAAACATGCCAACTCACCCACAGTAGTGACAGGAGTCTGGGAAGTGTAATGCGCTGGACCGCCTGTGGCAGGATAAGCATTGCCTCCCGGGTAAGGGTAACCTGGATAACCACTGAAGCGGACACAAATCATTACATAACCAGTTAATCACGCTCTGTAATTACAAAACAGGTTTTTATACAAAGTGTTTTCATATCATGAGTGCTGAAAAAAATACAAATAATTTTAACAGGTTTATTAAATGTTGATTAGACTGTTGCATGATCTTTGGCCAGACTGAAGGAGTCATTACCAGGGGTTTGGGTTGGGCCCGTATGGAGATACTGCTGGCATTCCTGGCATATAGGACTCTGGAAGGAGGAGCAGGACACAAAACAAACACTTACATATGCACTGCTGGTGCTGGGAGACCTCAGCTGTTTAAAACAGGCATTACTTTGACAACTGGGAATGGTTAATTGATCATGTAAAGCTTATTTTATATATGAGAAATCTGAGCTAAAAATTAAGTTGCATAAATATATCTCCAGGTCAAGAAATGCCTGTGTACTATTGACAAAACCAAAAGAAAAAAAACAAACAAAGAAATTATATTTTGCATAAATAAAAAATTAAGTTTATTTTCAGTACCATTAAAATTAATATACATATATATGTGTGTGTGTGTGTGTGTGTGTGTGTATGTGTACTGGTACATAGGGTTTATGAGGACACATGTGTATAATGACATATATTATAATACATACACGAAATAATGTTCTTTTTAGCAACGTCATATGACCCCTTTAAATAAAAAATATTTTTGCAGTAACTGAGTAAAATATAAATATTGAATTAAAAAACTTAAATTGAAACTTAAATTTAACTGAATATAACTGAAATAAATAATAAATATATAATTTTAAGTTGAAGTAAAAACTAATAAATAAACAAATAAAAGCTAAATAGAAATATTATGACAAAAGTCATATAAAAATGACAAAAACACAAAACAAAATTACTTAAATTTAAAGAAAAATTAAAAAGAAAACGGAAAATCTAAATATAAAAGCTAATTCAAAATATTAATAATTACCATAACATTATATAAGTAATACTAAAATAACATTGATGTATGCATACAAAATCTACAAAAAAATTGAGATGCCTAAAGTTTCATTTTCTTTATAAAAATAATATAACTACTTATTTTGAAATTCTTATTTAAAACTGTCCGTTTCTCTTGGAAAATTCTTGTCAGTTGTATTGTGAGATTCGCACATGAACCCAGGGCTTGAAGAGATAAAAAGTTATGCTTACGGTTCGGGGGTCCGGCTGCTTGGAAGGCCTGGTAAGGAGGTTGTGTGGTGGGTCTGGAGAAAACAGGCGGCTCCTCACCAAACACCACAATCATGACCTGGATGAGCCCATACAGATCTGACTGAGGCTGATGGGCCAGGGAGAAATAAAATAAAAAATGAGTGAGAGATCTGACCTGTTCCGGGTTCCTGATTTCTAATATCAATCACTGGCAAAGTGTATTTAAAGAGCATAAAACATGATCTTTTTTGAGATTATATTAGACATCAGAATGAAATAATTTCGTGTGATGGATGGAGTCGTACATGTTTCCACTCGTGCAGGTATGGCAGGTAGATCTTGCCGTTGGCGTCGATGTGTTTGCCGGTCTTGATCATCATCGCACTGGTGGGCTTCACAAAACATATGGGAGGATTGTAGGGATACGTATCCAGCAGCCACAAGCACACGGGGATATTATACACATTCCCTGAAACAGGAAAACATGCGTGGTTATATGTTATAATGCGGCCTTCATCTTTACACGATAAACAGTTCTCTAACCCACCTCTATAACTAACTGGAACAGTTCCTGTGAGGCTCATCAAGTCTCTGGATGATCCGTCATTAAACACTGTGAAAGAAACAGCAGTTATTCATGGAAAACTCAAAGAATTACGTTTCCAGAGACCCAGGATGAGAAAATCTTACCGTACGCATCCATAACAGGTTTGAGGTCTTTGTACTGAGAGATGACGTTTGTTATCTCTCGGACAGTGAGATCTCTGTATTTGTATTGCTGGAATATAGAAAATAATACACGTATATAAATAACCCAACAAACTATCGTGTCTCCATTATAAAGCCTTATCACAAAGAAATGTCTGAAAATACATTGTATCAACTATCAAACTATTTAAATGTGCATTCAACAATAATATGTTATGTGTGTAAAAAAATGTTTGCTTTTGATATTAAAGTTATTATAAAATATGTATATAATTATTTTCACTTTCAAAAAGTAAAACAACATATGAAATCAACAACTAAATCCAGTATGGCAACCGTTTCAGCATATCTTAAATAAACACAGACAAATAACCTGACTAATAGAGTAGATAAACTGAACTTAAACAAAAATTACAGTTTTTGCCAACTAACTAAAATAAAAAAGTTGAAGTGCTAAAATGACAACAAAAAAAACTAAAAGAAATCATAAACAGACAAAACAAACAAATGCATAAATAAATAAAAATGACAACATTCACATAAAAAAATCAGAAAGGCGCATAACAAAATGACTAAAATTAAAACAAAAATAAATAAATAAAAAAGCCAATTCTAAATATTAATAAATATTATATTTAACTCCTACTTAGTATACGAGTAACACTAAAATAACACTGATATGTAATTTCAACTGTATGGTACAAATGTACTATATCATTTATGATTATTTTACATTAACAAGAATGAGAAATTCTACAAAAAAATATTGATTTTATTTTATATAAATAATTCTTATTTTTAATTTCTTATGTCTTCACAAGTCTGATCACAATTGTATGAAACATTTAATCAAGACGACATATCAAATTATTTAAATGTACATTCAACAATGATCTGCTATGCGTTATGTCTATAAAATATGAACTAGTTTGACTTCAAAACATATGCAACCAGAACCACCCAATTCCAGCATGACAACAATCTTATGTAAACGCAAATAACCTGCCTAATACAGTAGATATGAGATTATTTTCCATGTTTACACAATATTAAACACCCATCATATTCTTACCCGTTCAATTTAACTACCAAGAATAAACACAATACTGACCTTCAGCATCTTTTTAAGAGTTGCTTCGTTGACAACAGCCATGATTTACTACACAAGTAGAAACAAACACACTAAACTCCAGAGAAATAACAGAATAAATGTGTGAAATGTGAAATAAACGAGTGTCTGAGCTCAGGCCAAGACTCCGACAGACCCAGAAACACTCGTATTAACGCCTGCTGTCCGACACAAACACACTCTAAACACCCCAATAGCCCATTAACACGGTCCGAATAATAGTTACTTAATGAGAACTCAATAAATGCAGGTAAAATCGGCCAGCATTCATCTCGATGAAGATAAACAAGACGAGTGGCGCGAGCGTCACAGCAGTTTCACTTCCGGTGGGAGTGTGATGCGTTTTCCAAAATAAAGGTCTGACAAGTGGTTTCTGTTAACATATTTAATTCATAAGTCATAATTCATAATTTATTATAATAAAATAATTATGGTCTATTTTATCATCATTTATTTGTCATTTTACTAGTTTAGGTTGGATCACATTTTTAAATGCGCAGTTAAGCATTCCACGTCCACAGACAAAACCAGCACTTGGCAATTTAATGAATACAACTTAAAAGTATCCACATTTTTTTTTTTTTTTATAAAACTGAGTGAATATGTTGTGATTGTAATATCCCACTGTGTATATCTGCATATTTACATATTTATGTAGGTGTTTTTTTATACAGGCAAATATGAATACATATATATATATATATATATATAAACATTTAACTGAGCATGAATCACTATGAAAACCTTGCTTCATAAACATGAATATTTACATAAAATGTACATCAAATTTGAGTATTTACATTCATGCTGCACAAATTTAACATTCATCATTATTATTTGTAAACAAAAGTTTACGGTTTCATGCAAATGTCTACTTTAACAAGAACGCGTGTGTACAAAATCACATTCCAGATACATCTAGCAAGCTAACAGACGGTTTCATTATGTTCAGAGAAAGGAAGATCGTCCTCTCTGTCCAGCGTCACGTGTGAGATTTCCTCAACTGAGCGTTTCTGATAAGCAGAACCTGCTGTAAAGAAACATGAATAGTCATTTTACCTAATCAATAGTCATTTTACCTAAACATCCACACAATACATTTTCTTTAAAGGGGTCCTATTATGGTCTTTTACAAAGTCTTGATTTTGCTGGGCCAGTGTGTGCTGTGATCGGTTAGCTGGGCCAGTGTGTGCTGTGATCGGTTAGCTGGGCCAGTGTGTGCTGTGATCGGTTAGCTGGGCCAGTGTGTGCTGTGATCGGTTAGCTGGGCCAGTGTGTGCTGTGATCGGTTAGCTGGGCCAGTGTGTGCTGTGATCGGTTAGCTGGGCCAGTGTTTTTGAAAAGTGATTTCTGTTAAATAAAATATCTCCATTTGAAGTGGACTTTGAGCTTTTTAACTTTGCAGATTTTTTAAACTCAAACAGCAACATTACAGACTAACTAAAGTTGAAAAAGTGAAAAAGCATAATAGGACCCCTTTAAGACTGCAAAACAATACGGCAGCCGTATCAAAGCCGTTTTTTGGGGGTTTTTTGTTGCTGTAACGTGACAATGATAATTGTCAAAACATAAAATTACATCAACCTTTGGACACTTTATCACATTTCAAATCACCTAAACTAGGTCTAAACGGCCTGCTTATCTGTTTCCTTGAAGTAATTAGGACAGAAGAAGGGATTCAGGAGTGAAGCTGCTCTACACAGATATGAAGAGTTTATGGGAATGAATAAGCAAACTATACTCACAGTCTTCTGGGTAAAGACGCATACGCAGAGGAGGAACTTCACTAAACACGGCCTTCATAACCTGAATCAAGCTGTGCAGGTCACACTGCGTCTGTAAAAAAACCCAAAACAAGCAAATCATTTCATGAGAATACATGCTTTGTATTGAGGCAGGTCAAACCCACTGTAGCATGCTGTAGACTCACATGTCTCCACTCGTCCAGGTAAGGCATCAGGATCTCTCCACTGCTGTCGACGTGTCTGCCGGTCACGATCAGCATCTCCCACGTGGGTTTCACATAGCAGATGGGCGCAGTGCGCGGATAACTTTCCTTCAACCACAAACTCACTGGAATATTGTAGTGTTTCCCTGAAGCACAAAAGTGTTTTGTTCGGTGCATTCTTAGACATGTAATAATAATCTCTTTCTTGACCGTGAAACCAAAGTAAAGTCCAGTTATCTTTATGGTGAAACTTACCTTCATAAAACACCTTAATTGTTCCAGTCAAACCAGCCAAGGTCCTCGCTGTGCCATCATTAAAGACTGGAGAAATTACAAGACAATTACAAACCTATTTCCTTAAAGAAATAAGTCAATTCTGTGCACTATGAACATATTTTTAAACATACACTTTTAAAAAGGGTCAGTGGTTCATTGTAAAACATTAGGTTTGCACTGTAAACTTTTCTTCATATAAAATAACTGACAAATCGCTGTGAAATTATTTTCATATCATCAAGCCGTACTAAAATGTGATTTACATATATATTTTTCAGTAAGTAATTTATTAATTACATAAAATTCAAGTCAAGTCATACTCTTTATTGTCAATGTAAAAGTACAACAAAATGTTATATTACTTTAAAATACTTTTCAGAATCGTTTAATTATTTAAAATGGTAAAATATGATTTTATTATTTAAAAAAAATATTATATAATTATATGTATTTATTTAAAGCTCCATAACATTGTTATTTGTGTTTAACATTTTAAAGTGTGAGTGAATATGTTGTGATGCCTAATTGTAATATCTCAGTGTACATATATATATATATATATATATATATCTGCATAATTACATATTTTCATATGTCCTTCTAAAATGAGAAAGGTCTGAATGTGAAAAACATTTAAAAAAATAAGTATGAATCACTAGGAAAACACTGATTCATAACCACATGACTTGTAAATTAAATGATTATTTTTACATAAAATACATATCAACAAATAGCAGGCTACTGAATATGATATAAACTTAAGTTAATAAAAGCATATTAAGTGCTAAAAGTAATAATTTTGTATTACCTTAAAATACTTAGTTTATTTATTTTTAATTATTTAAATTATTATACAATTATTTTGTGATGAATTAAATGCTTATTATATTATTATCATTATTTAAAGAAATAAGATTTCTCCTACACAACATCAACCTTTAAAACAGTTTTGCTTCAAAACAGGAAGTTGGATTTTTAAGACTGTAGAATTTAATGTATAACAGCTAAATAAAACATAATAAGTAAACCTACAGAGTTGATATAGAATGCTGACAGATGTGCTGCTGTGGAAAGCGCTCTTTGAATCAACTGAACTGAACTGAACTGAACTGCTCACCAAATCTCTCCTGTGATCGGTTAGCTGGGCCAGTGTGTGCTGTGATCGGTTAGCCGGGCCAGTGTGTGCTGTGATCGGTTAGCGGGGGCAGTGTGTGCTGTGATCGGTTAGCGGGGCCAGTGTGTGCTGTGATCGGTTAGCTGGGCCAGTGTGTGTTGTGATCGGTTAGCTGGGCCAGTGTGTGCTGTGATCGGTTAGCTGGGCCAGTGTGTGCTGTGATCGGTTAGCTGGGCCAGTGTGTGCTGTGATCGGTTAGCTGGGCCAGTGTGTGCTGTGATCGGTTAGCTGGGCCAGTGTGTGCTGTGATCGGTTAGCTGGGCCAGTGTGTGCTGTGATCGGTTAGCTGGGCCAGTGTGTGCTGTGATCGGTTAGCTGGGCCAGTGTGTGCTGTGATCGGTTAGCTGGGCCAGTGTGTGCTGTGATCGGTTAGCTGGGCCAGTGTGTGCTGTGATCGGTTAGCTGGGCCAGTGTGTGCTGTGATCGGTTAGCTGGGCCAGTGTGTGCTGTGATCGGTTAGCTGGGCCAGTGTGTGCTGTGATCGGTTAGCTGGGCCAGTGTGTGCTGTGATCGGTTAGCTGGGCCAGTGTGTGCTGTGATCGGTTAGCTGGGCCAGTGTGTGCTGTGATCGGTTAGCTGGGCCAGTGTGTGCTGTGATCGGTTAGCTGGGCCAGTGTGTGCTGTGATCGGTTAGCTGGGCCAGTGTGTGCTGTGATCGGTTAGCTGGGCCAGTGTGTGCTGTGATCGGTTAGCTGGGCCAGTGTGTGCTGTGATCGGTTAGCTGGGCCAGTGTGTGCTGTGATCGGTTAGCTGGGCCAGTGTTTTTGAAAAGTGATTTCTGTTAAATAAAATATCTCCATTTGAAGTGGACTTTGAGCTTTTTAACTTTGCAGATTTTTTAAACTCAAACAGCAACATTACAGACTAACTAAAGTTGAAAAAGTGAAAAAGCATAATAGGACCCCTTTAAGACTGCAAAACAATACGGCAGCCGTATCAAAGCCGTTTTTTGGGGGTTTTTTGTTGCTGTAACGTGACAATGATAATTGTCAAAACATAAAATTACATCAACCTTTGGACACTTTATCACATTTCAAATCACCTAAACTAGGTCTAAACGGCCTGCTTATCTGTTTCCTTGAAGTAATTAGGACAGAAGAAGGGATTCAGGAGTGAAGCTGCTCTACACAGATATGAAGAGTTTATGGGAATGAATAAGCAAACTATACTCACAGTCTTCTGGGTAAAGACGCATACGCAGAGGAGGAACTTCACTAAACACGGCCTTCATAACCTGAATCAAGCTGTGCAGGTCACACTGCGTCTGTAAAAAAACCCAAAACAAGCAAATCATTTCATGAGAATACATGCTTTGTATTGAGGCAGGTCAAACCCACTGTAGCATGCTGTAGACTCACATGTCTCCACTCGTCCAGGTAAGGCATCAGGATCTCTCCACTGCTGTCGACGTGTCTGCCGGTCACGATCAGCATCTCCCACGTGGGTTTCACATAGCAGATGGGCGCAGTGCGCGGATAACTTTCCTTCAACCACAAACTCACTGGAATATTGTAGTGTTTCCCTGAAGCACAAAAGTGTTTTCTAAGTGCATTCTTAGACATGTAATAATAATCTCTTTCTTGACCGTGAAACCAAAGTAAAGTCCAGTTATCTTTATGGTGAAACTTACCTTCATAAAACACCTTAATTGTTCCAGTCAAACCAGCCAAGGTCCTCGCTGTGCCATCATTAAAGACTGGAGAAATTACAAGACAATTACAAACCTATTTCCTTAAAGAAATAAGTCAATTCTGTGCACTATGAACATATTTTTAAACATACACTTTTAAAAAGGGTCAGTGGTTCATTGTAAAACATTAGGTTTGCACTGTAAACTTTTCTTCATATAAAATAACTGACAAATCGCTGTGAAATTATTTTCATATCATCAAGCCGTACTAAAATGTGATTTACATATATATTTTTCAGTAAGTAATTTATTAATTACATAAAATTCAAGTCAAGTCATACTCTTTATTGTCAATGTAAAAGTACAACAAAATGTTATATTACTTTAAAATACTTTTCAGAATCGTTTAATTATTTAAAATGGTAAAATATGATTTTATTATTTAAAAAAAATATTATATAATTATATGTATTTATTTAAAGCTCCATAACATTGTTATTTGTGTTTAACATTTTAAAGTGTGAGTGAATATGTTGTGATGCCTAATTGTAATATCTCAGTGTACATATATATATATATATATATATCTCTGCATAATTACATATTTTCATATGTCCTTCTAAAATGAGAAAGGTCTGAATGTGAAAAACATTTAAAAAAATAAGTATGAATCACTAGGAAAACACTGATTCATAACCACATGACTTGTAAATTAAATGATTATTTTTACATAAAATACATATCAACAAATAGCAGGCTACTGAATATGATATAAACTTAAGTTAATAAAAGCATATTAAGTGCTAAAAGTAATAATTTTGTATTACCTTAAAATACTTAGTTTATTTATTTTTAATTATTTAAATTATTATACAATTATTTTGTGATGAATTAAATGCTTATTATATTATTATCATTATTTAAAGAAATAAGATTTCTCCTACACAACATCAACCTTTAAAACAGTTTTGCTTCAAAACAGGAAGTTGGATTTTTAAGACTGTAGAATTTAATGTATAACAGCTAAATAAAACATAATAAGTAAACCTACAGAGTTGATATAGAATGCTGACAGATGTGCTGCTGTGGAAAGCGCTCTTTGAATCAACTGAACTGAACTGAACTGAACTGCTCACCAAATCTCTCCAGCACTGGCTGAAGGTGCTGATGCTGAGACACGACCGTAGCGATCTCTGACAGAACCTCTCTCCTGTGATTATATGTCTGAAAACACACACACACACACGACTCTCATAATGACTTCGTATATGTAAAAAACACTTATGAAATACAAACTGTAAGACATTTCCATAAGAAATCCTCAGACTTTTACCCTGGGTAAGATCCTCCTCAGATCACGGACTGGTGTAACTGTCATGACTTCAGATGAAACACAGGTCGAGCCAGAGCAGAGGAAGTGCGCTTTCGCTCCTGAAGACTCTGCGGTGTTTATCACAACCGAAAGTGTCTGAGAACTTCTTAAGAGTCCTCGCTTCAGCGCAATAAACCATGTGATTGTCAGAAAGAGCCAATAGCGGGATTTACTGTGATGAACTATGATCTACCAACTAAAGGTCATTCAGTACAAATAAACCGCACATAAACATTACTGTCTTTCTAGGACAACAAAGCGTGGAAGGAGGCATTTATTCAGGTCAGTGACTGATGTACAGCCACACACAAACACACTTACACTGATAAACAAACTGCTGTCTAAAACATAAAAACTCGTGAAGAGCTGCCTTTATGGTCTACCTAGTGTACAATGTACAGTTCTGCTAGGTCTGGGGAACTAACTTTTTTTTTTTTTTTTGCTGTTGCTAGTGATTAATGGTGTAATTAATAAACACACACACACACACACACACACACACACACAACCGGTCAAAAGTTTGGAATAATTACAGTTTTTGATGTTTTGAAAGAAGCATATTTTGCTCATCAAGGCTTCAATTACTTGTTTAAAAATGAAGTAAAATCAGTAATATTGTGAAATATTATTACAAATTAAATGACGGTTTTATATTGTAATATGTTTCAAAACGTAATTTATTCCTGTGATGCGCAGCTGTATTTTCAGCATCATTACTCCAGTCTTCAGTGTCACATGATCCTCCAGAAATCATTCTGATATGCTGATTTACTGCTCAAGAAACATTACTTATTATTAATATTTTTCAAATAAATGCTGTTCTGTTGAACTTTCAATTCATCAAATAATCCTGAAAAAAATGTAGTTTTCAGCACTCATAATAATAAGAACCATTATTAATAACTGTACACCAATATTTTTTTGCTGTTGCTAGGGATTAATGGTGTAATTAATAAACACACACACACACACACACACACACACACACACACACACACACACACACACACACACACACACACACACACACACACACACACACACACACACACACACACACACACACACACACACACACACACACACACACACACACACACACACACAACCGGTCAAAAGTTTGGAATAATTACAGTTTTTGATGTTTTGAAAGAAGCATATTTTGCTCATCAAGGCTTCAATTACTTGTTTAAAAATGAAGTAAAATCAGTAATATTGTGAAATATTATTACAAATTAAATGACGGTTTTATATTGTAATATGTTTCAAAACGTAATTTATTCCTGTGATGCGCAGCTGTATTTTCAGCATCATTACTCCAGTCTTCAGTGTCACATGATCCTCCAGAAATCATTCTGATATGCTGATTTACTGCTCAAGAAACATTACTTATTATTAATATTTTTCAAATAAATGCTGTTCTGTTGAACTTTCAATTCATCAAATAATCCTGAAAAAAATGTAGTTTTCAGCACTCATAATAATAAGAACCATTATTAATAACTGTACACCAATAATAATTGATAAACTGACCATCAAATCAGTATATTAGAATGATTTCTGAAGGATCATGTGACACTGAAGAGTAATGATGCTGAAAATTCAGCTTTTCATCACAGAAATAAATTAGATTTTATCAGATATTCACACAGAAGGCAGTTCATTTAAATTTAATAATATTTCACAATATTACTGATTTTACTGCATTTTTTAACAAATAAATGCAGCCTTGGGGAGCAGAAGAGACCCAAAAAAAAAAAAAAAACCTTTGACAATCGTAATTATTTCAATGCCCATATTATTAATTATTAAATAATACATTAATCTTAGCAGCCATATGGGGTGCTTTTATCGCCCCAATCCCACTTGTTTCTACAGTAGGGCTGCACGATTAATCGAATGCGATTATTATGCGCATTTTGTTAAAAATTAGTAAATCATTAAATCATCATCACGTGCGTTCAGATGGAGCAGCATTTACTACACATAGCCGTAGTTCACTGACAAGTTACGCAAAAAAAATCGCAGACGATTTTATTGCGCGATTCTGAAATCGAAGAAATCGTTCGCGATAATGACAGCTGTTTGCATAGCTTCTCAGTGAATGCGATTATTATGCGCATTTTGTGAAGTAAATGCTCTGTGAAGTAAATGCTGCTCCATCTGAAAGCATGTGAAAATACCACATTTAATAACATATTTTTACTCCAAACTCACTTCATAACGTCAGTCGAGTGTTTGAAATAAATCCTTCTGTGAGATGATGTGGCTTCTTACACAGAATAAGGCACACAACATATTTCATAGTATTTAAGCAGTGATAAAGGCATTGCATTATAAATATACTTTATTTTAATGAAAATTATAATAATAAGAACTCAGATAAACCGTATATTGCCGTAGTCATGTGTTTATTAGTCACGTTGAATCAATGAAAGCAGTTGAATCTTCTGTTTATTCAGCTGCAGCGATAGGCTTTTCCTGGATTTCTTCTGCGAGGCGTATTTGGAGTTTCAGCGCGAGAGCGCCCTCTGGCCTTTGGATGGAGATTTACTGCTGATCACAGAACCGTGCTTCACTGAACGATACGCATGACAATCGCAGCTTCTTGCGAAGATTTACTGCTGATCACAGAACCGTGCTTCACTGAACGATACGCATGACAATCGCAGCTTCTTGCGAAGATTTACTGCTGATCACAGAACCGTGCTTCACTGAAAGATACGCATGACAATCGCAGCTTCTGTCGAATCGCGATCTCGATTCCATTTCGATTTATCGTGCAGCCCTATTCTACAATACCATTTTTTTTTTCAAAAGTATATTGAGGTAACCGCTAGGAAAATATCTTTTAAATATTGTAAGATTTCCACAGACTTAAGTTCAAAACAAACACAAGCTTCTTCAAACAACTCAACCGTTTTTATTTTGGAAAATTCAGTCAGCCGGTTTAATTTTCTAAAGGTAACGTTCGTTCGTAACATACACATTTACCAGCACACAGAACTAATGCTCCCGTTTGATCTCCACAAAGCCCTACTCACAAACGCTATGTTAAATCAACCTGCACGTTAAACAAACAACACTCCTCCTGATTATTTCTACACAGTTACCGCTCTTTTCGACAGACATGTACATATATAGATGCTCTCCATGAGGTGCGGCTGCGGCGGGACGAGGGTCGTGGGATGAGGTCACTAGTGTCCAGTCTTTTCCATCGGAGCTGAGGAAGGTTTGTGTGTGACGTGCCGAGTCCGTTTCAGACCAGTGTTGAGACTTCAAGAACAATAATTTAGCAGAAATCCACAGAGGCGCCCAGCGTTAGCAGACTGGGGTTACAAATAAAGACGAGAAAGGAGTAAGTCATTAGTGGAGTTTATCAGGCAGACGTGGACATCCAGAGAGGTCACCCGGGGGTCAACGCGAGACCGCTTCCTGTGGAAAATGTTTGTTACGCAGGAGGCCTCGCTCGCTTTTCGTTACAAGTGGCTTTCAGATGAGACGCTAGGTCTTCCCTCTCTGGTCCAGTCTGCCGCACTTCTCCCGACAAGCACCGTCAGCTGAGGACCAGAAAACAGGAAGTGCTTACTGCAGAGGTGAAGATGCCAGTGAGCAAACTGATTCATGTCAGAGTCATATTTCACTTCAAAACTAAAAGAAAAATAAGGTTTTGCATTTTTGTACCATTAACATTTGTGGCATTCCGCTGCCAATTCTCATTAACGTAATGGCAAAAAATATCATAATGTGTCTGACTGTTTTTTTTTTTCTTTTTTCAGTATTGCAATACATTTTTTACAGAATAATTATTTAAAGTAAAAAAATATATATATTACTTATCTTTTTTATTAATAAATTAAAGTCAGTACAACAAACACAATTATAATGTACAAACTTTAACATTTAATAATAATATGCATATATTACATATCAATTTTTGTTGGTAATTGTCACAAAATTCTCTATATAAAAATATAATTATTATTTATATAGATCAACAGTAAGTATTATATATGGCAAAAATAATAATTATAATTAACATAATTAATAGTTCACACAATTTTTAAATTAAACTGTTTTTATTAAGTCTTAAGAAAACAATGGATGCTGAATTATTATTTAGTACTTTTTATTATACATTATTATTTTATTTAACATAATTTTTTTTTTTTTTTTCCCCAATGACTATACAATAATAATAATTATAATTATTATTATTATTATTGCTGTTGTTACGAATAATTAATTTTAAATAAGTAAACACATAAATACAATAATATCATTAATATTAAAAACATTGCATATATATTTAAAAATGTATAGACTTTTTGAGGTGAAGTACACTACCGTTAAAAAGTTTCCGGTCAGTAAAATGTTTTATTTTTAATAAAAGTATCAATTTCTTCAACAAGGAGGCATTCAGTTGATCAAAAATGACAGTAAAGACATTTATAATGTTACAAAAAAATTATTTTTCAAATAAATGCTGCTCTTTTGAACTTTCTATTTGTCAAAATATAAGCAGAAATGTTTCTCGAGCAGCAAATCAGTAATGATGCTGAACATTTTTTAAAATACATTCAAGTAGAAAACAGTTCAATTGTAATAATATTACACAATATTACAGTTTTTACGGTGTTTCTGATCAAATAAATGCAGCCTTGGTGAGCAGAAGAAAATGTATTTTGAATGGTGGTGTACATAAATCCCATCATATACATGAAAGATTTTTTCATTAAAAAAAAAAATGACATAATGGTAATAGTGATGCTTGCTTTAACAAACAACATTAATAAATACATAAATATAATCTCTCCGAAGTGCTGGCCTTTCAAGTGGCATTTCTCAGCCATTCTGTGATTGCTAGTGATGATTTTCAGTTTATTTAGTGTGATCAGAGATCACCGACTCGTTTTCAGAGTCAAACCGATGTGTTGTGCAGTTTCACACAGTCATTCATGCCTTCTGTTTATGGTGTCCTAACATTATGTGTATTCTGGCACCTGGATCACGACACGACACAGCGGCAGCTCATGCAGTCCTGTCCGCTCTCGTCCGGCGGGTTCAGCTTCCTCATCTTGTGCTGACGGATCTCTCGCACCAGCGTGTAAAACGCATCCTCCACACCCTGCACACACACGGCAAAACAATGCTAACCAATGCGGATGCTATCAAGAGATTCAAGAGCAGTGATTGGTCAGAACACATCTCACAGATCAGTAACAGGTCTGAATAACATTTCTAAGCACAGCACTGCAGCTAGTGATGAAAACACATGAAAGTGACAGACATACTAGAATAATGTGATGGTAAATGTGTGGTCTTGGTCTTTTCCTCGCAGTTCTCGTCAGATGGACAAAACACAAAGCGGCAGTGAGTCATTCCTGCAGTGTTATACAACACACCCTGTCTGTGTGTGCGTGTGCGTGTGTGTGTGTGAGAGTGTGTGTGTGAATGTGTGTGTGTGTGTGAGTGTGTGTGTGTGTAGGTGTGTGTGTGTGTGTGTGTGTGAGTGTGTGTGATGAATCCCCATTTAAATAATTGTTATAATCAAATTGTTATAAATGTACCTTTGTGCCTGAAGCAATTTGTTTTTGTAATGAACATATATAATGACCATTGATAGATTGTGTGTGTGTATGTGTGTTAGTGTGTGTGTGAGTGAGTGAGTGAGTGAGTGTGTGTATATGTATTAGTGTGTGAGTGAGTGAGTGAGTGAGTGAGTGAGTGAGTGTATATGTATTAGTGTGTGTGTGAGAGTGTATGTGTATATGTATTAGTGTGTGTGTGTGAGTGTGTGTGTGTATATGTATTAGTGTGTGTGAGTGAGTGAGTGAGTGAGTGAGAGAGTGTGTGTATGTATTAGTG